CCTGGTTAGCAGGCAAAACAGTATTTTTCACTGTATCTCGATACATGTGACACTAATAAATCATATCAAATCATATGGAGCAATACGTCGATATTAAGGTGCTTTTCATCAATTTATGTGACAACCTGACAATCTCAAGGCGCCAGACTCAATCCAGATGATTAACCATGTCTCTTAGCTGAGGTATTAGAATTAAATGCTAGATAAAGAGTATAAATACAGAGTTACTAGAATATTATTCCGTATCAATTTGTTTACAAGTCATGTTCAGTAATGTAAGATTTCAAAACGTAAATGTAATGTAAAATTGTGTTGAGAGCTGCGTGGGTTGTCACAGTAACGTGAATTGTTTTTGCTGTGATGAACCCATATTCAGCTGGATGAATCGAAATGCTGAAACGTCAACTTTCCTGCTCCTCTGATGCTGCCTGACCTGCTGTGTTCCTTCAGCTCCACACTGTATTGACTTAATCCAAATGGACACAGTTACGTAAATGCATCAAAGCATGTTGTAAAACTCAAAATCTTTTTTCTAAAATAAACATGGCAGATTTTGCTTTTGGGAAATATACAAATATGCTTCAGTGGGAAACAAAAAGAACTTTCATCAAAATTAGTGCCACTTTAAAAGTCCTGTGTAACTTCAGGGTTATGAGATAGACATGTTATATAATTATATGTTGCATGGAACATATGCCAACCAAATTATTTCCAGAATCATAACATTGGGAGTTGAGTAAATAGTAGTCAAACTAATTAGAACTGAGGAACCAATTGTCACCATATATGGTGTTAGAGCTATACCATGAGCTTGTAGAATTATATTGAGTCAATCATGTAAGCAAATTTAGCTTGTTCATCAGCCATTTCACATAGTACGTTCACAAAAGCCTTGAATTATTTAAATAAAATGAGAAAATGTGCTTGTGAAAACAGCAGTGAGGGGTATCTTGGTTGAATCATTAAACCATCATTTTTCGAGTGTCCCATCGAGTCCAAAGTACAGTTCTGTTATTGGACAAGATTGCTCTCCAACGTTTAATTCTCACACAGCCCGTTTCTGAATAAATTAAAGCAATCTATATTCACAGTAGAGAAAATATCGCAAATGAGAGGGCATAAGTTTAAAAGTAAAAGAAGTGAAAATGGTGAGAGGAAATTTTTTTCCATGCAGCGGATGGTTAGGATCTGGTATGCAGTGCCTGAGAGTGTGATGGAGGCAGGTTCAGCAGTGGCTTTTGAAAGGCAGGTAGACAGTTATTTGAAAAGGATGAGTGCGCAGGGTTACAGGGAGAAAGCAGGGGAAGTGGAAATAGGTGAGTAGCTTGTTTAGAGAGACAGTACAGTTGTGGTGGGCCAAATGGCCTCCTGCTGCACTGGAAGAATTCTGACATGAAGCCTTTACAAAGTTATTTGCAGTCAAAAGAATCAAGTTCTTGAAGTTTCTATGAATGCTAAAAATGGACACAGTTAGTGAGAACGGGCAATGGTAATTTAATGTGAGCTGCCAGTTATCTACCTTCTTAGAAGCTGAGCAAGGCCCTGTGCATGCGTTTAATGAGCTCCCTTTGAGCAGAGAGCAGAACTGGCAGTATAGCTCAGTCCTGCCTCAGCGAGTCATAGCCCCAAAATGGAAACTCTGACTTGGTGATGAATTCGACCATCTGAGGGTGTGGCCAAGTGGAGAGGCTTCCAACACCCATGTTACTCAAATGAGCATAAAAGATCACGGAAAGTTGAGTCAGTGGCGAACGGAATTTTTGCTTAAGGTTCTAGTATTGTTTGTGTCGGTTGCCATTATCTGAAGTGAATTGTGCAGCAAAAGCCAGCCTAATTGAGTGGAAATTCCAAATTGCAAAGCTTAAGATGTAACTGAATGGTAGAGGGAAGTCACTGTTCAGTGTTTCTCAGCCCCAATACGTGTGCAGTGAAATTCCTCTCATTTGCGGTGCATTATAATGTAATAATGTTCCCAAGTGAACCTCCAGGAGGCCAGGCAGTAATTCCAATTACATCAGTTTCCGAGCAAATGCAGACTATAAAATCCACATGTCCATGTGATTGATCAACCCCACATTTAGACAATTTAATGTTGTTTGACTAAATCTACATCGCGTTATGGCTGCCTTTTTTGCCCCAGGCACATTATTAAATTGTGATGCAGATCAGTCGTACAGCAGAGATGCAAATGTTGCTTTGTGAGGCAGGGCAAAATCACACTGTGTTCGAGAAGCCAAGTCTGAAGGCAAACACCTATGTGCTGCTACAAGAAGATGGCTTGGAGATACTTGGGCTTCAGCTGTTTAATGGCACCTAATGCAAACCACCTTCTGAACAGTAAGAAAAAATCTCAGGCGTCTTGCCAACAAACTCTTAGAGATCGTTAAAAATGTAACTATAGCCCTGAGCGAAGATTAACAAGCTCCACTTTACCTGCGAGCAGAGCTGGGAGCGTAACTCATCTGTACCAAGTAGATAGTGTCCTCAGGATGGTACCTGAATTGCAAAAGACCAGTGACCAAGACAAAAGAGAGATACGTGTTGCATCCTGATGGTTTAGCAATAAGTTTTGCAATAATGGATCACAATATTTTAATAAAGCTGATAACCCACACTGATTTCCCATACAAATGAGTATGTTAAACCCACCGTGGTCCTGTTGTGTTCAGTTGCCAGGTTGCAGTCAGAGCTGTTCATGTTTCCATACAAAGAGGTTATAAAAGAATACAGGCTGAATGAAAACTTTCAGATGTTTAATTTGCTTTCTTAATCATTAGCATCTGTTTTACATCACGACACTCTCTCATGGAGGAAGCAGTGGTGTTGAGACACGTAGGGGAAACTTAGAAGTGAACTGATGTCTGAAGATGTGTCTCAGTGGAAATATGGAGATCAAGTGTTTAAAAAGTGTTTCGTTTTTTTGGATGTCCATTCCCTGTCTTTTTGTTGGTTTTCTCCTCTTCTAACCAATGCTGCCCTGAAGGTATCAAACACCTTCTCATGGATTGATCGATTGACAACAACATATCGCAATCCTACAACACTTTTTGATGTAAAAATCACCCTGAGGTGATTCCCAAATTAGTAAAAGATGGATAAAGCGTCAAGCTGTTGTGTTATGTCTCATGGTCAGTACATGATAGCGTCCCTATATCTTACGTCGTGTGAAGGTAGAAAGATCACAGACACCGTCTCAATTGGAATGACTTCATGGATGACACACTCATTAGAAGTATGCTCTTCTAGTAGGTTCATATAGACCAGATGTTGGGGTCTGTCAGTGTAATCATTGTATTTAATAGCTAACTGCAATAAACAAGTTATCTACACCTAGTTCCTTCCTACTGTTTCATGGGATAACATAGGCCTTGCTGCATCAGGTAAGGATACCTTGCTGGTGATGATGAAGGGTTGTCATTGTCACAGGGCTTAAAGTTTTATGACGTGCAGAAACTGGAAAGTACTGGAGTTTATTTCAGGCTGGAGAAGTAGGCACAGCTGGGAGTGTGGTAGAGCTATGAGGACTGAAAATTCAACACATTGGGGGACACGGAGGGTAGGGAAGGATGATGAAAGTATAGCCAACCGTGTTTTAGGTACATTAGAATTTTGGAGTGAGAGGTCATAGAGGAAGATATGAGGGAAAAGAATTGTAGAATGGCCAAAGAAAAGGTGAGGGTATCAGTGATGAAGACGAGATAACAGAGGAGAGAGAAATGTTCCAGTTTGGAAATATGGGTTGATGGAGAGGGCAAGGAAATTCAACATTGACTTTAGACTGTTTGCTTCACCCTAGACAAGTTGACAAAGTATAGAGTCGTGTATACGGTGATGGACAGAATGGATGGGTATGGCATATTACTATCCTACACTACCAGTCACTTATTATTCATGTGTCAAAATGTGTATCTATTGAACGAATTACAGCAGAGTTCCAATTGTGTCTCCATCCAGCACTTAGACACAAATACCTTCCCTAGAGGTCAATGGATAATGATCCTGTACAGGAGCTTTAGCAGTCAAGCAACTTCAAGGTACATTCTAGTGCCACAACTGTGCCTGATCTTGACTAACAGCACAGACTGCAGATTAAAACTAACCTTCCTACTTGGAACTGTTGATGAACTCACTTAGTTATTGGAGTATTGCCAGTGTTCCATTGAATATTTAAGTGCTGCATGTTATTAACCATTAAGTATTCATATTAAAACAGGATCAGTTGTGCCACATTTAATGAAGCTGCTGAAATTTTTACCTGTCTTTGACTTAACTATTCCAACACACTCCTGGATGCCCTCCTGTTTTCTACCCTCCTTAAAAACTTGACATTATCCAAAACCCTGCTGCCTGTATTCTCCCTCACATTAAATCTCATTCACCTATCATCCATGTTGCTTGCTGACCTCCATTGTCTCCTGGTCGACCAATGCTCGTGAATTTTAAAATTCACATCTTTTGTTTTCAAGTCTGATGTGGCCCCATGCTTTTCTTTGCCTGTAATTTCTTCCAACCCTCTCGGATATCAAACATCTGACCTTTTACACGTTCCCGCTTTTAATTGCTTCGAGATTGGTGGCCCGCCCTTGACCTGCCAGAGAGAACAGATTTTTCTTTCAGTTTTGCTTGTCAGACTGAATTGCCTTTAACGGTTTTGCACCAAGCCCTGTTCATCTCTCACCGTCAACCATTGGTGTCTGTGCCTTTGGCTGCCTGTAAGCCCAAAAGTTCAGGAATTCCCTCCTTAAACCTCTCTGCTTTATTGACTTCTGTTTCTTGCATTGATGTGCTCCCTAAAATGTTTGACTAAGCTTTTGGTCATCTGTTCCATTATCTTCTCTTCTGTAACACTCCTACAGAGCACCTTAGGGTGTGTTATTCCCCTAAAGTTGCTACATAAGTAGATACAAGTTGGTGTTGGTACACAGGGGTAATAATACACGTTGTTATTACAGGAGAGAGGCGTGTCTTTTGGTTAAACCAAATGTTTTTCTCTTTTCCAGTGTGATGTGCCAGTTTAGTGTCGTTGAAAGCAAAAGTGCAACATTCCCAACGGAGCGGCCACGGCACCTGCTGGACGACAGCGTTCTTGAAAGTCAGAGTCCTGCCAAGAATCAGGAAAGCTCCATCTTTTCCAACGGAGTTTCAATTGGTAAGAGTACTTCCCTTCCAGATGGCTTTGCCTGCTGAACTACAGCTGTCATTCATAATTCATGGAAGTGCGCTTAAAACGTAACCTGGCTGTCAGCTCCAATCGCTGTCATTACAATCATTTAAGTTACAGTCAGGAATTTGATGCAATCTTCCACCATTAAAATGGTACAGGTGAGAGTTGGATGCAAATAGATTAAGCATTAACACCAGAGAGTGCCAGTTGGAAAATGTGCCATTTAGTCAATTTCCTTCTATCATCATAGCCTCATGGATATTCACAGCACAGAGACAGGTCATTCCACCCATTATGTCTGTTGGTTAGGCCACTTTTGGAATACTGTGTACAATTCTGGTCTCCTTGCTATAGGAAAGATGTTGTGAAACTTGAAAGGGTTCAGAAAAGATTTACAAGGATGTTGCCAAAGTTGGAAGGTTTGAGCTTTGAGCTAATGGGAGAGGCAGAATAGGCTGGGGTTGTTTTGCCTGGAGCGTCGGAGGCTGAGGGGTGACCTTATAGAGTTTATAAAATCATGAGGGGCATGGATAGGGTGAATAACCAAGGTCTTTGCCCCAGGTTAGGGGAGTCCAAAACTAGAGAGCACAGGTTTAAGGTGAGAGGGGAAAATTTTAAGAGACCTAAGGGGCAACTTTTTCATGCAGAGGGTGGTGCATGTATGGAATGAGCTGCCAGATGAAGTTGTAGAGGCGGGTACAATTACAACATATGAAAGGCATCTGGATGGGTACTTGAATAGTACAGGTTTCTCTGTCTCTCTCTCTCTCTCCTTTCTCTCTCTCTCTCTCTCTCTCTCTCTCTCTCCTTTCGCTCTCTCTCTTCTTTATCTCTCTCTTTCTTCTTTCTCGCTGTATTTCTTCTTTCTCCCTCTCTCTCTTTCCTCTCTCATCATGGATAAGTTGGACCGAAGGGTCTGTTTCTGTGCTGTACATCCTCTATGACTCTCAGTCGATTGCTTTCCGTTATCTTAGCCTCATGGACATTCACAGCACAGAGGGAGGTCATTCCACCAGTTGTGTCCATGCTTGCCAGCAAAGATTTGACTCCATGAACCCCATTTTCCAGTTCACAGTACATAGCCCAGGAGGCTATGGCAACACAAGTGAATGTCCAAATACTGCTTCAATGTTACAAGAATTTCTGACTCAACCACTCTTTCAGATAGTGAGTTCTCTCTGACTGAAAAACATTCTTATTAACTCTCCTCTTAGTCTTCTACCCTTTACCTTGTATCTGTGCTTCCTGGTTCTTCACCCCTCTGCTAATAGAAAAAGGTGCATTCCCATCCACCCAATCTATGCCTGTTATTAGTTAAATTCCTCTATCAGGCACCCTCTCAACATTCGCTGTTCCATGGAAAACAGCCTCAGCCTCTCTAATCTTGCCTCAGCTCAGACCCTCCAGCCCAGGCAGCTTACTGTTAAATTACCTCTGCACCCTCTCTAGTAATTTCACCCTTCCTATAAATATGGTGACCAGAGCTGCAATACTGCAGTTGTGGTTTGGACAGTGGTTTATACAGTTCCAGCAAAACCTCCTTGCTCTTGTATTCTATCCCTCAGAAAGAAAAAAGGCAAATAGCCCATCTGCCTTCCTAACTGCCTTCTCCACCTGCCCTGATACCTTGAGAGATCTATGGATATGCACACCAAGGTTGCTTGTGGTCTTCAGTTTTGAAGAACATTCATTTTTTGATGTTTATTTCAGTTCTCCTTCTTGCTCCCCACTAGCACCCATTCCCGAACAGAAGGGTTTAATCAACGCTGCTGCTTCAACTCTGTTGACCTGACTATGTATCCACATGAATCTATGGACAGTACTGAGAAACATGTCTTATGGGGGTGGGTGCAGGTTTCTGCTTGTTACACCCACCAGCAGCTCAGCTTAGTCATGTGAGGAACTGTTTCGTTCATTGCTTCGTTGTGTTAACATTACCTTGATGACTCCAACCACATTTATATCTAGGATTCAGTCTTAAAGTGCTAGCCATATAAAAATCAGAGCCTAAATTATTGGTAGCTCTAGTTTATGATGAATCCAAGCCTCACTTGTTCTGGCTGTGTACCTCCGACAACAACTTTCATCGATGTGAAATATAAACAGAAAATGTTGGAGGAACTCAGCAGGTCTGGCAACATCTGTGGAAAAGGAAACCGAGTTAACACTTTAAGTCCAGGATGACTCTTTAGATCTGAACAAGAGTCATATCAGACTCAAAACACTAACTCTTGTTTCTTTCTCCTTAGATGCTGCTAGAGCTCCTGAGTTCCTTTGCCATTCTCCACTTTCATTTCAGACTTCCAGTGTCTGCAGTATGAGGGGCGGTACGGTTGCTCAGTGGTTAGCACTGCTGCCTCACAGTGCCGGGGACCTGGGTTCGATTCCACCCTTGGGCAGCTGTCTGTGTGGAGTTTGCACATTCTCCTCAGGTCTACGTCGGTTTCCTCTGCATGCTCCAGTTTCCTCCCACAGTCCAAAGATGTGCAGGTTAGTTGGATTGGCCATGCTAAATTGCCCTGTAGTGTCTGGGGATGTGCAGTCTAGGTGGATTAGCCATGGGAAATGCAGGGTTACTGGGTGAGGGGAGATGGGATATTGGATTTGATTGAGATGTTGGGTCTGGGTGGGATGTTCTTCAGAGGTTGATGTGAACTCACTGGGCTGATTGGCCTGTTTCCACACTGTAGGGATTCTATTTCCTGTAGGTTACTTTTATTTTTCATATACCGGACATCTTTAACATAGGACGGCATCCTATGGTGCTAGTTGCAAATCACAGGTCAATATTTAAAGCTGTTTGAGTTGTAGTTTTATTTTAAAGAGCTGTGGTCAACTTTCTTTCTTTTCAAAACTACCTTGTCTGCCTGTCAGTGTGGCAGGCAGTGTATTTCTCTGTTATATGTTAATAAATTGTCGGCAATGGGGAGAGTACAACTGTTGGAGTTAAGTCTCTGTTGCTGCAATGTGAAAACACACTGTGGCTTGATTAGTTTTCAATAAAGGGAAGTAGAACCTGAGATGTTATTAAGGATCCTCCTAGACCCTGCCTCCAGTTGAACCATACTCTCCCCAATCTTTTCAAATCAGTGTTGAGCTTCCAACACCAGATCCTCTCCAACACCAAGAACCACTGGGACTCCGCTCCATAACATTGCCTGCCTCAGAGCCTGTTTTAGTCTCTGCTCATTGCTGTTGAAGCCCTCAACCATGCCTCCATCCCTTTAAGTACAGCTATTCCAATCTTTTCCTGGCTGGCTTCCTGTCCTCCATGTTCAATAAACATCGGTCCATCCAAACTTCTACTGCCCCCATCCATGTCACATTCACTCATCAATCTAACCCTCACTGACCTACATTGACTCCTGGTCCTTCGGGACATTTCTGCTTATTGAGAGTGCTATTATAATTGCAAGTTGTAATGAGATTGAATAGATCATGATAGAAATGTAAATCCCTAATCAAGGGAGCAGTTAATAGCAATTTGAACTATTAAGTAATTTGTATCATGGGAATTACTCTTACACAGTTGATTGTATTCTCATTCAAAGCCAAATTGATTCTTCAATAGGAATTACCACTGTCATTTGGGATTAACTCAACAGCTGAACTCCAATCGCCCAAACTACAGAATTTAAAGTCAGATACAAAAATGTTACCCAAACTAGAGGGTTTTGAGTTATTACGTAAGGCTGGATAGGCTGAGATTTTCTTCCCCTGAAACATAGGAGGCTGAGGGGTGCCTTGGAGAGGTTTATAAAATCATGAGGGGCATGAATAGCCAAAGTCTTTTCCCCAGGGTGGGGGAATCCAAAACTAGAGGGCATAGGTTTAAGGTGAGAGGGGAAAGATTTAAAAGGGACCTGAGAGGCAACATTTTCACGCAGAAGTTGGTGCATATATGGAACGAGCTGCCAGAGGGAATGGTAGAGACGGATACAATTACAGCATTTAAAAGATATTTGGACAGGCTTGTGGATTGGAAAGGTTTAGAGGGAAATGGTCAAAATGCAGGCAAATGGAATTAGTTCAGTTTAGGAAACCTGGTTGACATAGATGAATTGGGCCGAAGGGTCTGTTTCCATGCCGTATGTCTGTATGATTCTATGATACACAGAGTCCTGTAGCATCACAGGAGGCTTTTATATTGTGATGGGTCCATTACTTGACCCTCAATCTGCAGAAGTCAATGTACTTCAACAGAAATTTTCTTTGATGTCTGTTTGTGTAGAAGGAAAATTAATTGCATTTAGATAGCAACTTTCCCATCTTCCTGGCATTTAAAAGTATTTTACAGACAATGAGATATTTCTGTTTTCTAGTCACTTAGGAATGTAGGAAGTTCCGCAGCCAGCTAGGTTACACACAGCAAGTTCCAACAAACAGAATTTTGAAATGATTTTAAAAATTCCAATAATTTTAAGAAACACTTTTCCAGAATAAGTTATTTTTTGATCAGTTTTTTTTGTGATGTCGATCAAGGGCTAATTTAATGTGCACGGCTACAGGAATAACCCTCTACTCTCCTCCAAAGTAGTTTTTCAGGATTTTCTTTTACGTAGGCTTGAGAGGGCAGTTGGAGATTCAGTTTAATGTCTCGCCCCAAAGGCAGTAACTCTAATCATGCTTACTCAGAGATAGTAGGAACTGCTGATGCTGGAGAATCTGAGATAACAAGGTATAGAGCTAGAGAAACACAGCAGGCCAAGCAGCATCAGGGCAGCAGGAAAGCTGACATTTCGGGTCAATATGCATTGCTCCCTCAGCTCTGCTCTGTAGTGTCAGCCTCAACTTCTGTAGTGCAGGACCTGAGCTCAGCACCTTGTGACCCAGAGCTAAGTGTGCTACCAACCAGCCCTTGGCTGCTCTTATCAGAAACATGTTACACTGAACCACTGTTTGAAACAGAATTACCATTTGTTCCTGAAACTTCAAGAGAATTCTTTGTTGATGTTTCTCAAGAACTGTTGACTGGTTCTATGAGT